CCAGGAAGGAGTGGAAACAAATATTCAAACCATTAAAAAAAAAGAATTGCCAACCAAGAATAATGTATCCAGCAAAGCTCTTCTTTAGATATGAATGAGAAATAAAGACCTTTCCAGACATACAAAAATTGAGGGAATTTTCCACTACATTATAGGAAATACTGAAAGGGGTCAGCTCACCTAAAACAAAATGACAAAAAAATTACATAACTACGAGTAAGGTGACTAGCAGGCAGATAAAAGCAGAAGCGTGTAACCCTTGTTAAGAACAGGGTATTCATTATAAGCTTAAACAATAGAAAGTGGTTTGCTATTGCAAGATAGCAATGAATGATCAGCATACATACAAATAAATTAAGGCACAACCCGGGGAGACCACTTCTCTCCCAAAAGAGGTGCCGAAATCTGCCCCGGCCGGAGACACTTCCGAGCCGTGGCTTCCTCTGGGTCACGCGAATCAGGAGATGATGAATAAAGCAATCGGAGCCTCATTTTCCCTACTTCTCATCTACGTATCGGAAACCGTTCCATTTATGGCCGTTCTCTCCCAAACGTAAATTACAGCACAAACACGGAACGGTCATTTAGAGACGCGACAGTCCACTCGGCGTTCGACGCTTTTCAAAAAGAGAGTGAATTGGCTTGGACAGAAAAACGAAAAGAGTGACACTGGCTCCTTCTAACACTTTTTTCTCATGTCCTCCTCTTGCCTCGGGACCGCACGAGAGACCGTGAACAGGGTGAAGACAGAGATCCGTTCGCAGGGACAATCCCGGGAAGCTTACGCGTCATTCCCGTCCGGCTCTCTCACACTTCTGGCCCGGAACGGAAACATGGACCGGCCACCCGCCGCCCGCGGCCACCGAGCACTTCGAATGCGGCTACTGTGGCTGGGCGCTGGGCGCCGGGCGCCAGGGTCCTCGGATCGACACCCCACCCCCATTCCGCACGATTCGGGGTCCTCCCCGGAAGTCAATCGCCGGAGGCTGTTCTGAGATGCGACAGGGCCCCGGACGCTTGTGGCACTCTGCGAAAGCCAACGCTTTTATGAGAGACTCCCTTTTGTCCACCGTCGATTGATTACATCTCAGGCCCTAGAGTTTCTGTATATTTTGGCTATCCGAAAGCACCGAGAACCCACACGACGCAATAACGACGCCAACGAACGAACGAACGATCCGATCGAGACACGGGAGAAGCGTCTGTTCAGATCCTCGGCCCGACCGACGTGCGAAAAGGTGTTCGGCATCACGAGCCGTTAGGGAAATGCAAGTCGAAAGCCCAAGGAGATAACATCTCACACCTGTCAGAATGGCTGTTATGTCAAGTCCCGTTGATGACGCCAAGTGTCGGCGAGGCTGTGGGGGGACGGGAACCCTCGTCCCCTGCTGGCGGGACTGCAAATCGAGGAACCTCCACACCGCTTTGCGGAGCGGCCGTACCGAACCGACTGAGACTTGAGCGACCAGATGATCCAGCAATCCCTCGGGGGTACGGACCCAGTAAAGGCTTGAAACCCCACATGCGAAAAGATGGCAGCATCATTCACGGTGGCCGGGACCCGGAAGCGACCGAAGCGTCGTCCTACGATAGACGCCTGGCGAAAGAGGCTGTGGTACAGATTTCATGGTACGTATTACTCGGCCGTAAGAAGAGAAGACGTGCTGCCATATGCGACGGCACAGACCGACCTCGGGATGATCTGGTTTATTTCGCTCACCTGACAGTAGAAAGCCACACGATATCGCTTATCTGTCTTTGTCCTGGTCCTTTGTCTGTGGGATGTCGATCTGAAAGCGACAAAGGACCAGGACAGAGACTCGTGGACGGGGACTATAGGCCAGCGGCTACCCGAGGGTAGGGGGTGAGGGGCGGGGGGAGGTAGATTTCTTTCTGTCACCACAGATCGGACCCCTATGGGTGGCGAACACACGATGTAACATATGTGTGCACGTGTGTGTCTCTGCATATGCCCTACCGTGAAACTGCACACCCCAAACTTCCTGGAGTTCGTGAACCGATGTCACCGTATTTAAAATTTAAACGAGTCCCAAACTAGAGCAGCCCGGTGGAAACGCACGTTCCGCTCTCGCAGCCATGCATACCGCGACCTCTGTGGTACTCGCCGATTCCCGGCACTGGGTCGGCAGCGACTCCTTCTCGGGAGACGAACGTGCTCGTGTTTGGTCTAGTCGTACGCAGAGCCTCCCTCGCCCGACACCGACGGGCGGCAT